GAAGGCCGCAGTCAGCTTTTCCTTGCTGTCTTGGTCGGGGGCTGCACTCAGTTTTTGATTTAAGTCTTTGCTGGCTTTCAGCAGATTTGCCCTTAATCTGAGTCCAAAGGATTCCGTGATTCCACCATCTTCAAAATTTGTTCGTGAGTAGTTCGAAAAGAAAGAGAAGGTTTTGAGTCCACTGACTCGACCTTGCAAGTCATGGTCCAATTTTTTTTTATTTTTTTTTGAACTCTTACAGTCTTACTAAGTTTTGAGTATCTACTAGTTTTAACTTTTAAGCAACTTTTACTAACTTTCTAGTTATCAAATTGTCAATTTTTTTAGTGCAGTCTCATGCAGTAGTTTACTTAGCTTGGTTGACTCAGTGGGCTCACCTTGGCATGGTTAACTCAGTTTGGCTCAACTGACTCAACTTGGTTGATTCAATTTGAGTCAACCACTGGTTGACTCAGTTTTCTGGCTTCAATTGACTCAATTTGGTTGACTTGTATCGACAGAACTCGGTTGACTCAGTTTGACTGAACGTGGTTGACTCAGTTGGACTCAATTTGGTTGACTCAGTTTGCCTTATCCAACAGTTGACTCAGTTTGGCTCAATTAACCCTGTCTCTTATACACATCTAGATGTGTATAAGAGACAGCACACACACACACACACACACACACACACACACACACATACACAAACACACACACACACACACACACACACACACACAGGCTATGTGTCTCATAGAACGGGTAGAACTGCACTCCTACCCCCGTTCTAACCCCCCTACCCCCGCTCCCTGCTCTTCGTTTGGAAGGAGTATGTGCTTCTTAAATTACTACTCCCCCCTCGACATTGAAAATGCCACTACGTACCTCGAGCCACCTTTTTTGGAACTGGCCGGAAATGAGGTGGGGCTTCAAAAACTGACATTACCTGGACACGAAAGGTCAATGGGTGTACGTCTACAGACTCTACACCTCCTAATACATATCATCTCTTGATAGTAGTCGATATATACCAGCCCTTATTGCAGACCTGACAGCGGCCTAGCTTGCAGCACCCGCAGGCAAGAAGGGTGGCACTTTATATGAAAAGCACTGGCTGGCAGTTTCATATCTCCATACGCCGTTCGCAAATACCTTTGCTCTGAACTTGGTCGAGTTGAAGAAGGTTCATGAATATTGCATCACCTTCAGCCTGAGAATAGCAAATGCCATCAAAGTCTGCCAACAGGTTTTGATTTTCATGAAAAACGTTTTCAACATGGAAAACACAAAGAGATCATGGTCCATCTAATGCTTGCAACTTGTGATGACATCAACAGAAAATAGATGTGAATTTCTTATAGCATTCTAACTCTACTTTGACGTTGACTTTGACTTTGACTTTGACTGAACTTTGGGGGAGCATGAGCAGAAATTGATGGAGTTTGCTCAACTGGAAAGTTTGGTATTGACTCTTCGTTGACTTGAGTTTACAATATTACATGGACTCATGAAGGAGCATGGCTTCACTCAGTTTTTAGTCCTTCTTACTCACTTGGAGTTTTACCTCTACTTCTCGCTGGCTAGCATTAGTGGCCACTGTGTATACCCCTGTGTGGATACGGGGCATACGAACGGCCCAATACGGCCGTACGTACGGACCCCCAGTCGGTCGGTCGTACAGGCCATACGTATGGC